CCTCGTGTGCCTGGCGGAACGGCATCTGGGGGGGCGGGGGGCCCCGCGTCCTCGTTCTGTCCTTGCCGACCGCCCTTCCATCCCTGCACCCCGCACCGCCGGCCACTCACCCCTTTGCGGACCAAGTAGTAGGCGAGGTCCGTGGCCAGCATGTCAGGGCTCAGCGCCCGCGCCATGTTCTCACGGTGAATCTGGGGATCAGCGGCCACCGTGAGTTCAGACGCCCCGGGCCTGTGGGTGCCAGGCCCTGCTCCCCGCCCCGCCAGGAAGTCTCCGCCCCCGGGGAAGCGCCTGTCTCTCTCTGCTTGGGCCAAGTGTGATAGCCCAGTAATCTGGAGGCTGAGGCGGGAGGATCACCATGACTTTGAGGCCAGCCTGGACTGCACAGTGAGAGCCTGTCTCAAAAACAAAAAGAACACTAGGCCCGGCTGCACAGAGCCTGACTCGGTCTGGAACTGACTTCTAGCAGATTCTCAGGGAAGGCTGGCGCTGTCGGCCTGGGGACCACGCCTTGAGAACCCGTGCTGTGGAGACACCCCGGACTGCTTCGGGATGAAATGGAGAGGCCGGAACCGGCTGCAGTGTTACAGGGGCGCTGGAGCAGGGATGAATGATTACTACTGAAGCTGGGCGTGAGCGTGCAGGGTCTTGTGGCACATTTCTAACTGCTGTCTACTGGAATAGCCCACCAGAAATGATTGTTTAAAAACGTGGCTGGGTGTGGTGGTCTCAGCACTCTGGGAGGCTGAGGCAGGAGGATCACAAGTTTGAGTCCAGCCTGGCCAACTTAGTGATGTAAAATAAAAAATAAGAAAAGGGTTGGTGGTATAGCTCAGTGTAAAGGCCCTTTGTTCAATACTCAGAAGAGAGAGAAAGGAGAAGGAGGAAGACGATCAGGGAAAGGAAGGAAGGAAAAAGATAAAGAAGGACCGAAATGAAAGAACAGGAAGGAGAGAACAGAAGGATGTGCTCTGGCCAGTGGACGGGACCTGGGTCCTTTGAGCCTAATCCACTGTCCCCTCCTGGCTCCTGGGGAGCAGGAGTAGGTCCCCCAGCCCCAGTGGCTCTTTTGGGGACCCCTGTTGCATCCCTGCAGGCCTACGGAAGGGGGTCTTACCTGCAGTGTAGAGATGGCACCTGTGGCCACCTGCAGAACAGCGCTCATGGTGTCGCACACTTCAAACACGGCTTCCTTGTCCTCCTGTGGGCACACGCAGGGGTGAGGCCTCGACCCCAGCCCACGGCGAGGGACAGTGGGGTGCATGAGACAGGGAGATGCCCCCCAGCCCCGAACCTGCAGGTCCTTATTGTAGGTGCTCGGAAGTCCCTTGAGGGTCATCAGGAGCCCAGCGCACTACAGGGAGAGGTGGCTCAGGTGCAGTGCAGGCCTAGGACAGAGCCTACCGCACTGGCCTGGCCGCCTCCCTGCCACTCACCCGCCCAAACACACGGCCCGCCTTGCTGCGGATCAGCTCCAGGCTGTCCGGGTTCTTCTTCTGGGGCATCAGGCTGCTTCCGGTGCTGGGGACACAGAGGCCGGACTGAAGTGGCAAGAAGTCGGGGACAAAGGGAGCCATGGTGGCGGGGTGGAGATGGCGACAGACAGGCAGGGCCTCACCTGTAGGCATCTGAGAGCTGCACAAAGCCAAACTCCTTGGTGCCGTAGAGGATGAGGTCCTCAGCCATCCTGCTGAGGTGTGTCACGCACAGGGACGCCCAGAACAGGAACTCCACTGGGCAGGGGAGGGGACAGCAGCGGTCGGCCACCAGGCTTCTCAGTCCTCGCCCAGCCTGGAGAAGCTCCAGGGCGGAGACTGGGGAGAAGTGAGGGCCAGACAGGAGTGGGGCAGTACCCGTGACTCACCCACAAAGTCTCGCTCACTGGTGGCATCCATGCTGTTGAGTGTGATGGCCCTGAAGTTCAGTTCTGGGGGACAGGACACGGGGCTGGGTGGGGGGATGAAGAGCAGACTCCGCAACTCCAAAGCAGCCACCACTAACTACCTTGACATCCCCAGGAAGGACCATGGGGGTGGGGACAGGGCCCCAGTGCAGGTCCCAGGATAGGGCCGGACCCCTGAGCTCCCCCCATGTGGGCTCCCTGCACACAAAAGTGGCCCAGACCTTAGCAGTTCAGGTAGGAGAAGGGCAGAGCTTGCTCTCTGGCCCTGATGGCAGGTGTGGGGGACAGTGGGGAGGAGGCGGAGCGTCTCACCTGCTCGGAGCAGCTCCCGGTCCACACCCAAAGGGTTGCCCGCAATGGCCCCACTGCAGGGACAGGGGTCAGAGGGGTCAGGGCTCCTGGCAGACACCACACACACACACACACACACACACACACACACACACACACACAGGGCTTGGTGGCCCCTGGCTCAGCCTGGGGCTCGGCCTCTCCCTGGCCTGGCCACCTTGAATACCAGAACACTTGTCCCGGTGCACGGGAATGGCAAGTCGTAGGCAGCTGGCTCTGAGAGAGCCCTGTCCCTGCTTGGACACATCTGAGAGACAGCTGGAGGGCCAGAGTCCCCCTCCTGGCTCACAAGGTACTGTTGAAATATACAGTGAGGTTTACATAAACATTATTATAGTAAAAGTTATGGGCCAGGCATTTAGCTCAGTGGTTCCACTGCCTGCCTCACAAGACCTGAGTTTGATTCCCAGTACCAAAAAAAGAGTTAATATTGCCATGAGTCCCTCTCAAAACCCTCTCCTCACTTTGATCACTCTTGTCACTTTCTGAAGCAGCCCTGGAAGTGCTCTTTTTTGAGTGTCTTTACCCTGTGTGATCAAAAATACAGTGAATACTGTTGCTGAGCACCATCCAACGGAGAGGCAGGCTTGTAAAGACCTGAGTGTGTCCTCCTCCTCCTCCTCATTCGCCGGACCTGCCACTGTGTGACTTCTGGGTCCTCCCCAAAGTCAAAATCACCATGAAAGGGAAATGTTGTAAATCTGTTCAGCACACTGAGGCAGCTGCAACAGAGCGACTAAAGATCCTCAGGAAAGAGGAGGACCGCCAGAGCTGCTTCAGAGAGTATCAAGGACGATGCCGTGAGTGCCTCTAAAGCAGGGGCAAGATTCTGAGGAGGATTCATGGCAGTGTCTTTTACTGCAATACACTTTTTAAGACTTCTGCATTCACCATACTTTATGATCATGCCTCCTATCACCCTGCTGCCTGTCCCCTCTGTCCCTGGCTTCTCGTGCCACTCCCAAAGGACCATGCTGACTCTATAGCACCTCTCCCCGCTGCCCTGGGCCCTGCAGCCTCACTCACCTCCCCAGAGGCAGGACGTTGATCCGGTTCTGCACCTCCAGCAGCCTCTCTGAGTCCCGGGTCAGCGCCACTGCATGGCTGTGGGAAGCCAGGGCTGCAGGGTCAGGGCAGCTGGTCCCCCACAGTCCTCACAGTCCCCGCACAGTGTGCCGCACGGCCCCAGCTCACCTCAGGATCCAGTGGCTCCAGCGGATAGGCTGGGCCCTCTGCAGGTGCGTGTACCCTGGGAAGAGGACATCACGTTCCCTACAGGGACGGGAGGAGTGGGAGTCCTGAGGGCTGGGGCCAGGCAGGACCTGCCTAGAACACCAGGACCTGGGGCCTCCAGAGAGAGCAAGGTGGCCTGCAAACCCCTGCCCACATGAGGGACCAAACAGTCTCCTGGGCACAGATAGGTCTGTGATGGTTTAGATCGAAAGTGCCCCCCAGTCTCCTGTGTTGGGGAGGTGGCTGGATCACCAGGTGCCCTACTCATCAGTGGATTCATCTTTGGATGAGTTCTGAGTGGAGGCCTGGCTGAAGGTGGTCACTAGGCGGTGGCCTGGGAGGGTGAATTCTTGTCCCTGGCTCCTCCCTTCTCTGCTTCCAGGTTACCATGGGTTGAGTATCTGTCTTCACCCAGACCCTCCTCCATGCTGTTCTTGCTTTGGAGCCAACTAACCATGGACTGAACCCACTGAAACTGTGAGAAAATTAACCTCTCCCTCCTTTAGCTTTCAGGGTATCTTCCTAGCAATAATAAAGTGACTAATACAAGATTGAAGGAAATCCAGGTGTGGTGACATACACTGAAGTCCCAGTACTTGGGAGGCTGAGGCAGGAGGATTACAAGTGAGAGGCCAGCCTGGACAACTTAGCAAGACCCTGTCTCGAAATTTTAAAAAAGTTGGGTGAGGTCTGGGGATGTAGCTCAAAGAGTGTGAAGGCCCCAGTTCAATGCCTAGTCCCCGTGAGTGAATGAATGACTGGCAGGGCCATGGCAGAGGAACTATTGGATAGTGATTGTGTTTAACGCAAAACATTTAATTCATCTATTTAAAGTGTACACTTCAGTTTACAACTATCCTCTGGGTCAGTTGTAGAAGACTTTCATCACCCCAGGGTGACTGTCCTTATGCCCTCTTGTGCCCCAGCATAGGGGGTCACAGGGCCCTGGGAAAGAGCAGGGTCAGCGCCATCCCGGGCAACACATGGAGGGAGAATAGGCAGCTCCTGGGCCAGGTCTGCAGGTGCAGAGCCTGGAAGACACTGAGGTGTGGAAGCCCAGGACTGGGGACACTAGGCAGAAGGGGGCCCAGGGCTCCAGGCTCTGTCCGCCTCACCACCTAGGGCTGGCTGCCCGGGGACAGGCGGTTCCCGCCACCGCCCCCGTGACCTCTCTTACGCCTCTGCCCGGTCCACCATGGCCCGGATGAGCTCCCACAGGAGGCCAGCGAGTGTGGTGCAGCTCTGTCGCATCCACAGCCTAAGGTCGGTCACCACCTGGTCGTTCCGGCTGCGTCCCGTATGAAGCTTTCCCGCCACATCTCCGATGAGCTCCTGGGGTGGTGGAAGCACGGGGTCAGGGCCACCTGTCACCGCACTAGGGGTGATCCCGGCCTGGCTCTGCACCAGCCTGTCCCCGACTCTGCCGGGTCCCCCGGTCCTACACTGTCCCAAAGATGAAGGGAACAGAATGACAGCAAGCAGCTGGGACAAGACGGGGGAAAGACCAGGTAGGCAGAGGGGACGTGGACACCACACCTTCAGACGCCGCTCATTGGCCGTGTGGATGTCCTCGTCGCTGGGGTGCAGCTTGAAGGCACCCCTGGCCCACTCCTCCGCCACCTGGAGTGGGAACAGCCTGGATCAGGTGGAGACACTGGCTGCCGAGAGGACCCCAGCCTGGTTTCCTGTCCCGGATGGCTGACTGTCCTCATGGGGAAACTGAGTCCTAGTGTGCCCTCCTATCCCATGGGAGCATCTCAGGCCCTGCCCATTCCCATGACCCAGGAGATTATGGGAGCCCTTAAAAGATGAAGACAGTGGCAGGATGGTGGCAAATGTCTGTAGTCCTGGCTGAGGCTAGGCAGGAGGAGCTCAAGTACACGTCCCACCAGGGCAATTTAGAGAAAGAGATTCTCAAAATAAATTAAAAAGGGCCTAGATGTCAGTCAGTGGGAGAGCATTCCTGGGTTTGATCCTTAGTACAATAAAAGAGAAAGAAGAAAGAGAGAGAAAGAGAGAGAGAGAGAGAGGGAGAGAGGGAAAGGGAGGGAGGGAAAGGGTGAGTACCTGGTCCAGGCCTTGCAGGATCTGATCCATCTCAGCCCTGGTGAGGAGTCCCGCCTTCTCCAGGCCCCGGCTGTAGGCCTTGCTCCCCTGCACGTCCACCTCCCACAGTTGCCGGTCATAGGTGATGGAGGCATTGAATCTCTCCATGATGGGGTCCACTGCGCCCACAAACCGGCCACCCCACAGCTTCCCGCTCTGGTCAGGAGAGCAGGGCAATGAATTAATCATCTTCCTTCCCACCAAGAAAGAGCCTTTCAAAAAGGGCACTGAGGGCCAAGCAAGGAAGCATGGGTCTGTAATCCCAGTGTTCCAGGAGGCTGAGGCAGGAGGATTGCAAGTTGGAACCTAAATTGGCAACTTAGCAAGGTCCTGTCTTAAGATAAAAAATAAAATGGGTTGGGGATGTAGCTCAGGGCGAAGGCTCTGGGTCCAATCTCTGGGACTGCAAGGAGAAAAAGTCCCCAGAAGAGATATGAACAGGAGTATTCTCCCTAGACAGATATGGAAGTGGAGCTCCCAGGGGCAGGGGCCATGGCTGTGCAGGAAGTCAGGTTTCTGCCACCACCCAGTGTGACTGTAGAGGGACTGTGGCATCCCTGGGACCACAACAGAAGTTCTTGGGCCTTTCTTCTCTTTAACCAAGCAGAGAAGTCACCTCAAAAGCTCAGTTTTAATCCAGCTGCACTGTGCCAATAACAAGGACAATCCACATACACCTGCTGACACTGCAGGCACCTCCACCCGCTGTGTACAAGCTGACTTCATGCCCAACAGCCCCACTGCCAAAGGACTCTGACCCACGGCAGCCTCTGCCCCCTCAGCCTCTTGTGCCCCACCCCCAGCTACCCCACCATGACCTGATCTCCAGCAAAGCTCCACAGGGCCTGGCGCTGGTGGCGCACGCCTGTCATCCCAGCGTGCCGGAAAGCTGAGACAAGAGGACTGCAAGTTCGAACCCAGGCTAGGCAATTGAGCAAGATGTTATCTCAAAACAAAAACTGAAAAGGGCTAGGGATGAAGTAATTTAGAGACTTAGTGAAACCCTGTCTCAAAATTTAAAAAAGGGTAAGGCCCTTTTATCAGGAAAATAAAGCACCATATGGAGCCTGGGGCCAGAGGGTCCAGGCCAGGAAGTCAAAACCAGGAGCCTGGAATCCCTCATAGCAGCTGCTATGTTAGTAATAACAACTCCCTGACAGGCAGGCTGTGCCAAAGCAATTAGCACCCACCCACGGGAGGGCCTAGGCAAGCTCAGGTCAGCAGCCTGGACTGCAGACCCTGTGCTTCTGGACTAAACCCTGCCCAGGGCTGCCTGGTAAAGTGGTCCTGGGAGGGCAAAGGCCAGTGCCACCCATGGGGCTGAGGAGGGTGGGAAGCCCAGCCCGGTGTGGATGCCACACCAGGCAGGGAACTCCATCCTGCCAAGAGGGCTGGCGGTGGCATCACTCTGGCAGCACTTCCTGGGCTGGGTCCTGGGGAGTTGGACTCTCTCTCCAGGTGGGCGCAGTGGCCCTGCTTTTCTCAGGAGGAAAGGTATTCAGGGAGTTCAGGCGACTCTGGGTTGGAAACCAGGGCTGTGGGGCTCCAAGTCCAGGTCCCCTGCTCCTGGACCCCAAGGCCTCCACACCTGCTTTCTTCACATGGGCAGAAGGGAGAAAGTGTCTCCCGGGTTGAGGAGGACAGAAGGGCTGGGACACAGACCTCCGCCTCCCAGGCTCAGGTTCACTTCTTGAGCCTTAGCCGAATTGGTCACCCTTTCATTTTATTCTATGTAATTTTATTTTATTCTTTGCAGTACTGGGGATTGAAGTCAGGACCTCTGCACTAAGCCACCTCCCCAGCCTTGTTTAAAATTTGAAACAGAATCTCACTAAGTTGCTAAGTTGTCCAGCCTGGGCTGCAACTTGCAATCCTGCCTCAGCCTCCCAGCCTCCTGCGATGACAGGTGTGTGTCAGACAAGCAACAAATAGCCCCTTCTACCCCAGACCTTAGAGCAGGAGGTGGAGGCTGTTATTGTCCCCACGTGCTGGCGACCTTTAGTATCCACAGCCCAGGCACAGGAGGCCCTGGGCCCTCCCTCAGGCTCTTCCCATCCTGGCCCCAGGCTGCACCTCGCCAGGTGGGCGCCGCCAAACTTCCGGCACGAGGGGGTGGTGGTGTCACAAGGCCATCTGGGGAAACTGGGGCCACCCACCCGACCCGCGCGCCGGTCACAGCTTGGGGCTGTGACCACAGCCAACCCTACTCGCAGGCTCGGGGACCACACTCACTTCTGATGCCATATTGGGTGGTTCCTGGTAGTCAGGGAGCCTCAGTTTTCAGGCCTGGAAGACAAGACCGGACTGACGACTTCGGCCGATCGCATTCCGTGGGGACGCGGGCTTGTGCAGTGCCCGGAGCTCGACACCATCCCCGGCATCCCCCGCTCCCACCGGTCCCGCTGCCGCACACTCACCAGGTTGTTCCCACCACTTGTGTCCACGCAGCCGGCTCGCTGGGCTTGTCTGTCCCACCAGGAGTCAGCTGCCCCTCACCCAGCCCTGACCCGCCTCCCGGAGGCCGCCGCACCAATCCAAGGCGATCCAGCCAGATGGGCGTTGCCCCCGCCATCCAACCCGGGGTGTGGGCGGGGCTTTAGGCAGGCAGATCCTGCCCAGAGCTGGACCGCGCTGGAGTCGCTGTAAGCCCTGGCGCGGGGATCCCGGTCAGGGCTCTAGACCGTGACCACAGGCTCAGGCCAGACGGGATCGCCAGATCCAGAAGGTGAAATGGCTTGTGGCTCACTCAGTCATTCACCAAAGACGTGCCAGGCCCCTCCTGGGCGCCAGATACACTTGAAACAAAAAGAAAGTGTGGGGCCGGGGGTTCCCCGCCCCCTGCCTCGCAAGCGCAAGATCCAGAGTTCGATCGTCAGTACCAAAAGAAATGCGCCAAAGCCGGTGCCTGAGCCTGGCGTCCCTGTCCGGGAGGCCAAGGGGCCATGAGCTCGGCCAGAGTGTCTGGAGGCGCAGACGGACAAAGGCTTCAGCAAATGGGTCGTGGCAGGAAGGGCGCGAGGCGAGGCGGGCGGGCGGTGTCTGACTGTAGGGAACTCGGCTGGTAACTCGTCGGACCCAGGCTCTGGTTCACCATCTTCACAACAGTTCTGCTCACCCATGGAGAAATGGACGCTGCCAAAGGGTACAGATGCTGCCAAAGGGTGCGAGTGAGCTGGCGTGAGGCAGGAGGACAGCTTGATTTGGAGTCCAGCTTGGGCTACGTAGTCAAAGACCAGCCTGAACTACACAGCAAGACCCTTTCTTAACAAAACAAAACAAATCAAGCTAAAATAAACTAGGTATGATGGCACACACTTGTAATATCAAAACCTGGGAGGCTGAGGCTGAGGCTGAGGCATGGGAATCACATGTTCACTGCAAGTTCCAGGCCAGGATGAACCACATAACAAGACTCTGCCTCAAAAAAACAAATAAACAACAACAAAAACCAAAACAAAACAAAATCTTAAGAGGCCAGTGTCGGGGCCCAGTCATGGCCCACTGGAGTTTGACATTTGAAAAATAACTTCTTCCTATATAATTAAAACATCAACATTTACTACTCTTCAAAAAAACTATTTATTAAACTTATTTTAACTCTTTGACCCTGACATAACAGAAAACTCGTTAGTCGAAGATCTGATATTATCTATAAAAATCAAAAACTCACCTTAACATAACAAAAAGCTCGTTAACCAAAGACCTGATATTATCAATAAAAATCAAAAAATCCGGTCTTTAAAAAACAATTACTTGATATTTTTGTTGTTATATACCCTTAAAAGCTTCCTGTTGATTCGAGCCTATAAAAAGAGCTATTTCTGCGAAATAAAGCAGACTTCTCTACATCTCCACTCAGGCTTAAGTGTTCTTTCCTTTCTCAATCCTCACTCCCCAACTCAGACATGTTCGTGTTGTGATGGCTGGACCGCCACAGGCCAGGCATGGGGGCATGTGCCTGTATTTTAGCCCTTGAAGAGGCTGAGACAGAAGGATTGCAACTTTAAGATCCAGCCAGGACAATCTAATGACTTAGTGAGACCCTGTCTGCAAATGAAAAGTTAAAAAAAGGGTTGGGGATGTGACTTCAGTGTGAAGGCCCTGGGTTCCATCCTGAGTACTGAAAAAATATTAAGACAGTAAATAATATGTATATGTACCACAATAAAAAGTTTTTGGAAAACTAAAAGATGTAAAAATACGTATCATAAAAATGCTAATTATAAGCTCTAAAGCGCCTATCTTCATAGCAAAGTAAACTTTAAGGCAAGAAATATATAGGGGGTCATTATATAATGATAAAAGGGTTCAATTTATCCTCCTCACTAACAATCCTAAATCCTAAATGGCTATGCTCCTAATAACATAGCTTCAAAAATGCACAAAGCAAAGATTAACAGAAAAGGACAAATAAGTAACTCCAAAATCATAATTGGAGATTTTAACATTTTTTCCCCTCTGTAATTGACAGAAGAAATACATAATAAATCAGGAAAGATAGAACACCTAAACAAGTTAACCATTTTCACTTTATTCACATCTATAGAATAAGCCATCTAACAACTACAAAATAAATTACTGGTGTCCTTTGGAAGCAGCAGAATGATTTTCTTTTATTTAAAAATGACCATTAAAGCTGGGTGTGGTGGCACATGCCTGTCATCCCAGCACTCAGGAGGCTGAGGCAGGAGGATTACTTTGAGTTTGAAGCCAGCCTGAGCTACATAATGAATTCAAGACCAGCCTGAACTAAAACAGAAAAAAAAGTTACTACTGTAACCATCTTAAGTATACAGATCAGTAATGTTAATATTTTTATATTTCTGTATTGTGAAACATTTTCATCTTGCAGAACTGAAATTATACCCTTAAATAATAACTTTCTCCTCCAGGCACTGGTAACCACTATTCTATTGTTACAGAAGAAATCTGTAAGTGACACACAGAGAGGCAGCAGAATGGAAATAAAATTAAAAAAGATTTATTTGTCCATAAAGACCGATCCCACATAAAGCAGTGCACAGATCGATTCAGTACTGGGCTACAACTCCCTCTTTTATAGGGTATTACAGCCTTGATCTCATTCAGGTTGTTATATTTCATTTTCACAGTTCACAATGCTGATACTCAAAACATGGTGGTGAGGCAGTTGAATTTCAACCCGGATGTAGCTGGTCAGCAAGGTTAGGTTAACAATGGTTTTGTTTTGTTTTTGAGATGGGGTCTCACTATGTAGTTGAGATTGACCTGGAACTCACTATGTAGCCCAGGCTGGTCTTGAACTTACAGCCACTGCTCCCTCTGCTTTCTTTCCTTTCTGTTCCTCCATGGCACTGGTCGCTCTCTAGTGTGCTGTACTTGTCACCTATTCTGATTGTTCCTGAACATTAGATTCTAAGCAGGGATTCCTATCTGTTTTACTTTTGAATTTATTCCAAACACCAAAGCACTGAGCACATTTGTTGACTGAGAAAAAAAAAAAAAAAACTGAATACAGGAGTTACAGATGCCTACTGTGAACGGTTTGCTGTGAGTGAATAAAAATGTCCAGCTGCAGGATGATGTCTAGTCCCTGCCCCTACTGTTGCTACAATTGACGAGAACAATTGTGCTTCCAGACACTGAAGACAGGAAGAAAAAGAGAGGATTTTATTTTGTTTTGTTTTGGTGACAATGAGGATTAAACCCAGACCCTTCATACTCAGCTGCATTCCCTGCCCTTTTACATTTTTAAAAAATATTTTGAGACAGGGCTTTGTTAAATTGCTAAAATGCCCAGGCTGGGCTGGGACTTACAATCCTCCTGCCTCAGCCTCCCAGGGTGCTGAGATTACAAGTGGACACCATTACACCAGGCTGAGGAGAAGATCTTAATTCATTCTCATCCTCTGAACATCACCCTAAGAAGCCCCAAGCTCTGACTCCTGCCTAAGGAGAAAAATAGCTGAAGACATTTGGACTTCGGTGGAGGAATTACCTCTACAAGGATGAAGCAACAAATAAAACGACCACTAGTATTTCTTGAGTTCTAACAGCATGTTAACATCCTGTACTGATTACCACCTTAAATCCTTACAACCGCTCCTTGAGGCCCACTCTAATAATCATTCCCATTGCATAGATAAGGAAACAGTCTGGGAGAGGGAAGTAACTTGCCTAAAGACACTGTTCCGGTGCATATCTAGTCGCCCAAGAGCCTCATATGCTTATAGATGGGGCTTTGGGTAGGTGATTAAACCTCGGGGGCTACAGTTCTCTGCTCTTAGGAGGTGGGGTCTGGTCAGAAGAGGGGGCCCTAGGCTGTGGCCCAGAAGGGTTTATTCCTCACTGTTTCCTGGCCGCCACGATATGAGTAGGTCTCCTCTGCCAGTCCCTTCACCCTTGCCAGCCAACTGTGCATTGCAACTGTGAGCCAAAAGAACCCCTCCTTGAGAGGCATGGTGGTTCACACCTGTAATCCCAGCACTCAGGAGGCAGAGGCAGGAGGATTGCTGCGAGTTCAAGGCCAGTCTGAACTACAAAGTGAGGCCCTGTCTCAAGAAAAATCCCCAAAAACCCAAAAACAAAAATCTCCTCCTGATCTGTGGGTGAGGGTGTGTGTCCCGGGATGAGGAGCAGAATAAGACAGATGTCCAGCCAGGAAGTGGCAGAATTGCAACATCTGCCTGGGGGTTGGGGTGCCAAGAGCTGGCTCAGCTGATTTTAATTACCCAAGGGTCAAATTAATGAACAACTGGCTAATATTATCCTTCCCGAATGGCATGGTGCTCATCTGCCTTTCCAGTCCCCAACTGAGGAGGCGGCTTTGACAAGGAGAGTGTGCAGCCAGCTAAGTCCTGGGTCCTGGTTTGATCATCAGCACCAAACACCTTTTTAAAAAACTGATAAGGAGTCCAAGGTGTGGATTGCTGTGTTCTTCATTTATCAAAGAGCTGTATCCCCACCCTTCTCTGCAATATATATATATCTATATAGCCTTTCCAGTCCCCAACTGAGGAGGCGGCTTTGACAAGGAGAGTGTGCAGCCAGCTAAGTCCTGGGTCCTGGTTTGATCATCAGCACCAAACACCTTTTTAAAAAACTGATAAGGAGTCCAAGGTGTGGATTGCTGTGTTCTTCATTTATCAAAGAGCTGTATCCCCACCCTTCTCTGCAATATATATATATCTATATAGTAAAACAGGCAGCAGAACTACTGAATTAAATCTATAGCCCTGCAACTTATTTTGAAACAGGGTCTGTCTAAATTGCACAGGCTGGAGTGGAATTTACAATCCTCCTGTCTCAGCCTCCTTGAGAGTGGGGACTACAGGCGTTTGCCCAGCCAATCACTGATCTAGGAGACAGGATGAAAGCGCTAATCCGTCCGAAAGATATCTGGGCATGACACTGAGTAGGACTCCTCTTCCCCGTGTCACACCTGAGACGACCTGGGTGCCTCCTGTCCTGGCCAGCCGATGCTTCCACACCCCTGAGTCATTGCTCCTCTGCGAAGCTGGGGCGCTGAGCTGATGTTATGCAGAGCTGGTCCAGTAACCACGTGTCAATCAGGTGGAAGGCGAGCATCCTCCGTGTTTTTACTGTCAGTGATACCTGGGGCCATCAGCAGATGTTTGCTGAGTGAATAAAAGGAGCATCTTTAGCCTTACTTTGTGGTTCCCTCTCCTCAATGGAGGGACACAGGATTCTCCAGGCAAAGCCAATCAGCTGGGCCTAGGGTGATATCTGATTTACTTGGTGATTTTTTTTTCTTTTGGTACTGGGGATCAAATTCAGGACTTTGCACTTGCGAGGCAGGCAGCAGAACCACTGAGCTAAATCCCCAGCCCCTGGTGATTTTAAAGTCAATTCTTTTGCTTGGCATGGTGGCCTTTGCAGCCATCCTGGGCTATGTAGTGAGTTCAAGGCCAGCCAGGAATACATAGCGAGAGTCTGTCTCAAAAACAAATAGTCAATTCTTTTTTAAAATTAATTTTATTGGTACATTTAAGTTATACAATATAATGACATTCATCACTGCACTGGAAATTAGCACCTTTACATAATCCATCTTGATAATAGTAAATTCTTTTGAAAAACATTTTTTTGTAAAGTAGCATGTTCATTGAAAAACATTTAAATACAGAATGTGTAAAATTAAGAGCTAAAAATCTCCCTTACTTCTCCTCCAATCAACTCCCCAGACACAACCACCAGAAAAAGTTTTAACAGCTTTATTGATAATTCATGTATATATGTGATAAAAATTCATATTCAGATAAACTCACTGCTTAAAGAGCACAATTCAATGTTTGTGCAATCATCCCCACTGATCAGTTTTAGGACTTTATTGCTTTGGGTTTTTGACACAGAGTCTTGCTATTTAGTTTAGGCTGACTGAACTCATTGTGTGGCCCAGGCTGGCCTAGAACTCACAGTGATCCTCTTGATTACTGCTCATATCGATTCCCTTACTACATGGAATCTACAAACCAAAGTTTTTAAAACTGTTAAAGAATGACTAAAACTCCATAAACCAAGTAGTTGAATGCATAGAAAATTTTGGGAGAACAAGTGAGATAAGATATTGAACAAGGTTACCATTCAGTCATCTATTCATTCAGACAGGGTCTTGCTATGTAGCTGAATTCACTGTGTAGCCCAGGCTGGCCTTGGACTCACAGGGATCCTCCCGCCTCAGCCTCCGTAGTGCTGGGATCACAGGCATGCAACGCCATGCCCAGCTAAGGCTACCGATTATCATGCAGTAAAACTCTTCCATTTAATCCTGATGCTGACACTAATGTGCTTTCTTAGGCAAAAGCTGATCTGCTAGAAAGTGAAATGACCCTTGACACGTTATTGGCTTCTGTAATATGTAGTCAGTATAGTCAAGAAAAGATCAGTCAGACCTAATCCACTTTCAGATATATTCTTCCAAAGATTGGCTCTGTGCCAGAGATAACACAAACCAGGAGTGAAAACATTTGGAGTTGTTACTACTTTTTACTGAGTTCTTTTCCATGCCATTTCTATTTTTCCTTAGGATTTTCTACCTTCTAATCAGATGTGGTAATGCATACCTGGTATCCTAGTACTAGGGGGCTGAAGCAGTAGGACTGCCACAAGTTGGAGACCTGCCTTAACTACATAGCCAGACCCTGTCTCAGAAACATTTTTTTTTCCTACCTTTAACCTGTATCACCACAACCCTTTTATTTTCAGATACCAAGTGGCCTGGTAAAATGTAAAATCAGCTGTGCCTGGTGACACATGGTGACCAGGTGGGCCCCTGGTGCTGGGGGTGCTGCAGCAGGAAACCCAGCCTGAGCAATTTAGCAAGACCCTGGTCACCCCCCCCAAAAAAAAAAACCATCTGGGGATGTTGTTCAATGCAAAGGGCGCGGGTTCAAGTATGCAAAATAAATTTAAAAAGTAAATCATGTGGTTCCATTTTCCATATCCTTATTTTTTCCTATACATTATTTTTCATTAAGTCACACCACATCGTTTTATGGATGTAAAAATCCTACTCTGAGCATTTCCCCAGCATATCAAATACAATATGCTGCATTTCTCATGAGTCCTGTACGACATGCTGTGCAGCTGAGACAGGATTTATAAATTCACATTGCTGGTCATTTAGGCTATTTCCCAGAACACCACTACACCTGCCTCTTTCCTCCTGTTGCATGAATTTCCTGAAGCGCCCAAGGTCAGAGACGAAGTCTGTCCTTTGACAAATAGCGCTGGAGGAGGGATGGGAATAGGAGGAAGGTGGTTTCTTTTTACTTTTTAACAACGTGTTTTGGTTTTTTTGTTTGTTTTGGGTTTTTTTTTTTTTTTTTTTTTTTTTTGGTTTTTTTTTTTTTTTTTTTTTTGGTACCGGGGATTGAACTTGGGACCTCGTGCTTGTGAGGCAGGAGGTGGAACTACTGAGTTAAATCCCCGGCCCTTAACAACGTTTTAAACTCAGTCATAACATGCATCTAGAAATGTGCACCTAAGTGTGCAGCACACTGACTCTCTAGACCCCTGAACTTGCCGCCAGAGCAGCACCCAGGAAATAGCAACACACAAGCCAGCTCGCCCTCGCTCCCATGCAGGGGTGGGATCTTAATGTCGCATAAGCGCACTAATCTCACCATGTCTTTGCAAGCTTAGTTAATACTTTGATAAAACCTAGACCACGACAACGTAAGTCCTGTTCACAAACACTTAATAGGCTGAAGTCGAGCTAGGCAAGGACACGAAGTACCAGGACACAAAGTGGGACGGGTCATCCAAACTCCCTGCGTGCAGCGGGGCGCTCTCCCGTCCTGCACTGCGGCCCTCCCATCCTGCCCCGCGGCGCACACAGCCGGCGACCCGGGGTCTCCGCGAGGAAGGTGGCACCGGCGGCGGCGCAGCGTGGTTTCCTTATCGGTGATAAAGAGGGACAACATGGAAGTGTAAGCCAACTCGGGCAGTTCCCGGCTTTGGGCCGAGGGCCACCGCTGGGGACACTTCAGACCACGCACCCGGAGCCCGCTTGGAGACGACGACCGTTCCGCCTCGGCTTCCTACCCGGAAGTTGGGAGCTGTAAAGCCAGCGTCGTCCTCCGTGGAGGTTCCTGGAGGGGATCTGGCGACTCTGGGGTAGATCCGTGCTAGGGACTGTGCAGGGGAAGTTAGCTCCGTGAGTGAGGAGGCGGGGTTTCTGGGCAGAAGAAAGCGTTCAGAGCAAGATTGGGACCGCAGAAACAGCACAGGGTCTGTGGTTGTTGTATTCGTGTGTAGGGGGAGTAAAAGCCTACATTTTAACGCCGCAAGGTCTTGTCCATGCTTGCTCATCGTACGACGTGCAGGTGGAAATTTTTCCACCCATAAAATTAATTCTGCAACCCACTCATGGGGGTTGTCTTGCAACTTGAGAAACATTCATGTAGACGTCCCTCAGTATTCAGATTTTGGGACCTTCTGTGGATACCAAAATCCGAGGCCAGTCAATCCCCTTATAAAAAATGGTGTAGTATTTGTATGTTACTTATGCACGTTCTCCCGTGTACTTAAATCATCTCTAAATTACTTGGGGTACCTAATGTTGTGTAAATGCTACGAAAATAGCTCTTAAATTGTATTATTTGGGAAATAGTGACAAGTCTGTGTCGATGCATCTCCCCGCTAATATTTTTTGTCAGCACGTGGTAGAATCAAGAGATTGAAGATCCCACAGATAGGAAGGGCCACTTATGAATTACTCTGGTCTAAGCCAGGATTATTCATTTTCCTTTTCCTAGAACATTGCTTGTCAGCACACAAACTTGCTTTATCTATCTTAAATTCTTTGTTGTGGCATTCATCTTTGTCTTTTGCTGTTTCTCCTTCCCATTAGAGCAAAACATCTTGGAAGTTTTGTTTATCCCTTCATTCTCTGTCTCTGTCTGTCTGTCTGTCTCTCTGGTTTGGTGTGGGTTTTTTGTTTTTTGTTTTTTTGTATGGGGATCAAACTCGGGACCTGGCGCTTTGAAGGCAGGTAGTGGAACTTTTTTTTTTTTTTTTTTTTTTTGGTACGGGGGATTGAACTTGGGTCCTTGTGCTTTTTCGTCCAGGCACCAGACCACTGATCTAAATCTCTGGCCCCCTGGTTTTTTTTTTTGAGACAAGGTCTCAATATGTAGTTCAGGCTGGCCTTAAACTTTCCATAATTCTCCTGCCTCAGCCTTCTAAGTATGCCACCATGTCTAGCTTATCTCCTCATTTGCTTAACCGTTCTGCTGGGCTTTCCTTCTCACTAGTCTACAAAATGGTTCTGTGAAGGTTATCTAAGCCCTCCCTCTCATCAAAGCCAAAGTTTGACTTTGCTGACCTCAGCTTTCCTGATTTCTCATTAACAGTTGTTACAGAAACTGTAGAATGTCTCTCAGCTTTATGACACGCTCCTGGATTTCTATGAATATCAGAGATGATGTCTCAGTGTCCTCTTCTTCCTTTTTTTTGGGGGGGGAACAGGGTCTCACTATGTAGTTGAGATTGACCTGGAACTCACTATGTAGTTCAGGCTGGTCTCGAACTCACAGCAATCCTCCTGCCTCAGCCTCCCGAGTGCTGGGATTACAGGTGTGCACCTGACTCAGCTTTTTTTTGGTACTGGGGTTCGAACTTGGGTTCTTGTGCTTGCAAGAGAGGCGGCAGAACCGCTGAGCTAAATCCCTGGCCCAAAATAATGTATTTACCAACAAATTTAATTTCTCTAATTCTGCTGATTAATTTTCTACTTTTTTTTTTTTGGTACGGGGGATCGAACTCGGGTCCTTGTGAGGCAGGCGGAGGCAGGCGGTGGAACTTCTGAGCTAAATCCCCGGCCCAAACAATATGGCATATTTTATGGGCAGCTGCCTCACACATCTTGTGTTTGCCACATCTCTGGGTCCTTGCACTTGCAAAGCAGGAGGCAGCACCATTGAGCTAAACCCCTAGTCCCTTCTTCCTTTGCTTGGTGTTTAAAGTCAGGTGTGTGAGAGCTCAGTCTTGGGTCTCTCCACACCTACTGTCTCCACTCTTGCTCATTTTGCTCACCTGTATGCATATGGTTCCCCACAGTATATTTCTGTCTTATCCTCTGTCAGGTTGCTTAGACCAAAAATCCAGTCCTTTCTTATCTCTAGCCATCAGCCACTGTCGTCCAGCATTAGGGTATTACTTATGTATTTATTTATTTTTGATACCAGGGATTGAACTCTGGACCTTGTGCTTGCCAGGCAGGTGTGATGCCATTGAATACGTCCTTAGCTAGGGTATATTTTAAATGCAGTTACTTTCCATTCTTTCCACTGTTGACTTTGTAGTCCATCATCTCTAGTCTGCATTAAACTATTTTAACAGTCTTTTGGCTTCTACTCCTGCCCCTCTTCCATTTTCTTCTCTATGCAGCAACCACATAAACATTACTGGGACCAGATTAGCCCTTGTGTAAAATTCATTGGCTTTCCATGCTTTACTGCCTTGTCCCAGCCTTCACCACCCTCCCTTCCTCCAAAGCACACATTTTCCACCTACAGGTCAAACTCCTTCCAAGCCTTCCTATTTCAGAATCTTTGCACTGCTGTTCCCCGTGCCTCATAATTTTCCTTCTTTCCTGCTGCCTTCTTAGATGGAATGTCCCTTTTCACTCAATCCAGAATAAGTCCTCTTCTTTTGTAGCATCTTGGTTTACTTTCCTTGTAGATAATTCTAAGTTATCTTATTTAGTCCCACAAAGGCATCAGCCAGCATCTTGTTTATCTTGTGCTTAGTACTGCATTTGCCACACAGAAAGTATGCGGCAAATACTTGTCGAATATAGTTCTATAACAGGATTCATTTAGTAAATGTAAATTAACTAATAGTCATTTGCTGGGTGTGTAGATGTTTTAGATTTTCCTAAGTGAAATAGATTGAATCTGTATATAATAACCTGTATGCTTCTCCCGAGGAGCCTTTGATTTGTTGATGAGAAAATGGGGTCTACCTCGGGGTGGGGTGGAGAGGCCCTTGAATGGCAAGGGCTGGAGCCTGACTGCAGATCCTGCCTGGCCTTGGACGTGGGTGTGGCTTCAGGGGGACTTGATGTGAGCAGGTGAGGGAAAGTTCCTTGGGTTTTTACTGCTTGCTTTCCTTTGGTTAGAGAGTATAAACCTACTGAGTCAATAGTACATGGAAACATACTAGAAATTTGACTGAATGACAAGAATTTAAAGACATCTTGTTCAGGACTGGGAATGTTGCTCAGTACACAGTGCTTGTCTAATGTGTGAGGGCCGGGATTCTAGCCCCAGCATGATGAAAACGAACTACCTATTTGGTTTTTGTTTTTGTTTTATTTTGTTTGAGATAGGGTCTCACTATGTAGTTCAGACGGCCCTGGAACTCACTCTGTAGCCCAAGCTGGTCTCGAACTCACAGCGATCCTCCTGCTTCAGCCTCCTGAGTGATGGGATTACAGGCATGCGCCACCATGCCCAGCTCAAACAACTTATTTGTAAACTTATCTTCCCTTGTTCCAACATAAAACACTCCTCACAGAATTAAGTACTCTGTGTATGAGACTTGGTGTGTGGCTTTCTGTCTACCACCTTGAGATCATCTGTGTGCCTGCAGAGCTTTATGTTCTTCCTTCATCTGGGGAATGGACACTATTTGCCCTCTGGTATCTTTTTTTTTTTTGGAAGTCCTCTCAGGATTTTTCCCCTCTGGGGCTTGAACCCAAGGCTTTTGATGTGAGCTGCGTCTTCAGACCTTTTTTCAGGGGAGGGGCTATTTTGAGACAGGGTCTTCCTGCATTGGTCCCACTGCCTCACCCTCCCAGAGTACTGGGATTGTAAGTGTGCATCACCTCACCTGGCTTATGAGGATTTCTCAAAATTTCCAGCCAGCTATACTTAGATTTGGCAAAGTTGGGAAATAGACATGGCAGTTTAGCAACAGGCCTGAGAAAGCATACTTGTTCAGCAGCTCTGAAGAGGGTACTGCAGGTTAAATTATTCTTTGATTTTAAAGCCTGCGTAGATTTCTGCACCAAAGTTTAGTTTTTCAGAGCATGAATTGACACCATAGGCTGAACATAGGGGAAATTGAGCAATTCTGTTCGTCATTATGTTCGTAAGTTAACTGTGTGGCAATTAATGGACACTTTATATGGTTTTTTTTTTGTGTGTGTGTATGTGTGTGCTTTTAAGAAAAGTCTGCCAATAGATCATTTTGTACTGTTTATTCAGAATTTGTTTTTCCCAAGTAGTTGTTTACACCTATTAAATTGACTCAGCAAGTTAAGCAGATTTTACAGGTTAAATTTCAAAAAGCAAGTTATATTCAGCCAGCTAATTCATTACTCAGGGAAACTAAGTAATTGCCTACTATTTGACTAGTCTTTAAAATTCACTTGGAATATTTTTTTTTTCCTTTGGTACCAGGGATTGAACTCAGGACCTAGTGCTTTCGAGGCAGGTATGGTGCCACTGAGCTAAATCCCCAGCCCTTGTCTTAACTCTTTTGCACAGGCATAAGCATTCTCCAACCTGCATACACATGCACACTTACTTTACTGAACCATTTCAGTATTGCAGATACCTGAAGAGGGGCATTGTCCTGTGTACCCACAATGCCATTGTCACGCCTAGGAAACAGCGCTGATAGAACTGTTATTAAAAGGGTCTGCGTGTCATCACATTTCTGCCATTGTCCTAATAATGTCATTTTAGTTGAGGTTTTTCTCCCTGATCTGTTATCCAGTAAGGAATTGCACATTGCATTTAGTTGTGCATCTTTAATCTCCTTTACTCTGTAGCAGTCTCTTAGGTCCCTCTCCCCCTGATATTGGCACTGTGAGAGATGTCATTAGTACTTGAAGAATCAAGGCCAGCTGCTTAAACCCTCGGTTTGGAATGATCTGGTTATATCCTCATGACTAGTTTCAATGAAACGTTTTTGGGGGCCCGTTGCTTTAAGCGATGCATCTTAGTGCATCCCGTCATCATTTTTGTGCTATTAAAGTCGTAACGATTAAATTGATGTCTGTCTGATATCACACGTAGCGGTGCTTATAGTCACTTCTTGAGGATAAAAACTGTCTTTAAGAATTTGCCATCATTTAGGCCATCATATAGATACTGTACTCATTTACCTTGTTTTCCTTGGTGCTGGAATTGAACCAGGGCATCGTGTGTGCTAAGCACGTGTTCTACCACTAAGATGCACCCCGTCCCTAACTGACCCTTTATTGGACAAAGGAGGGCCTAATGTATATTGGCATTTACTCTGTGGTTAGCTAACCAAGAAAAAGTATTTGTGGAAAGGAAATCAATGAATAAATCGTATTTTGCTGGCCAAAATGTGCAAGGTGCAGTACCTGTTTACACTTGATCTTAGCCAAAAGGCTGAGAATTGATGCAGTACCTGTTAAAACATCTAGTGTTCTCCTGGTCCCCAAATACAAATTCATTAAAATGTCTCTGTGGGACTGGGGGTACAGCTCAGTGGTAGAGTGCTTGCTAGCATGTGTGAGACCCTCCTTGGTCCAACCCCCAGAACCACAGTAAAACAAAACAGAATAAAATGTGTATGGAGGAAGATTGCCCTTCTCCTGTGTTCTGGGAAAGGCAAGCGATATTCTCTGGATTCTCACGTGAACAGTGTTGACTTGAATGAGGGGAGTGCGTGGGGCAGCTTCCTCAGGGCACAGAGTGTGCTGCACGCCAGGTGAGGTGTGATTGGGAGTAAATATGACACAGTGGCAGCTGGGATGGACCCATCTGCCCTGAAGAGAATGCACGTTAGTGCTCTGGGTGGACTGTTGCAGGCAGGGCCATCCCAGTGCTCTGAACTCACAGGCATGGTTCTTCTTTGAGAGAATAAGGCAGGAGGGATTATAATTCAATTCCAAGCAGACAGGAGGAAGTTCCTGATTAAGCGGGCGTAGGAGTCAGTTTGTCATTTTCAGTTATAAGCAAAGCATGTCTCATACTAGTAATCACACATTGGCCTTCCTGGATTAGGTTCTTTTTTTTTTTTTTTAACAGGGATTGGGACTCAGGCCCTTGCATTTGTAATGCGGGCAGTGGAACCACTGAGCTAAATCCCCAGCTGGATTAGGTTCTTTTTAGCTATAATTCTCTTTGTGCCTACTGTGAAATTGTAACTGCTTGCTGAGTTACTGGTAGCGTTTGGTTTAAGATTTTTTAATGTGCTGACGTGATGATAGTGTGATATCACCGTACTGATGACCTAAGGCCTAGGCCTGTCCCTCTGTAAAGCACCTGCTACTTTTGCTGTCCCTTTTTTTTTTTTTTTTTTTTTTTTTTTTTTTTTTTCGGGATTTTTTTTTTCTTTTTTTTTTTTTTTTTTTTTTTTTTGGTACCGGGGATTGAACTCGGGTCCTTGCGCTTGGAAGTCAGGCAGCAGAACTACTGAGCTAAATCCCTGGCCCCTTTTTTTTGTTTGTTTTTTTAGGTGAGGTTTCCTTATATAGTTCAGGCTGGCCTTGAACTCACTAAGTGATCCAGGTTGGCCTCAAACTGGCAGTGATCCTCATGCCGCAGTCTCCCAAGTACTGGGATTACAGGCGTGCACCACCATGCCTGCATTGCTATCATTTTTTTTTTAAATTGGTACATTTTAGGTTTACATAATGATCACATTCATCATAGGGAATACCTATATCTTGCTGGGTTTTTTTTCCCCATTCCCTTCTCCTTTCAACACCTCTTTGCCTCCTTATTTACAAAGCTTTATTTCCATTTTTTCTATTTTTTCTTGTCCCTTCTCCCCCATTCCCTTGTTCCCCTTCTCATTTGAACATTTGCTTCCTATTTCCCAATATCTATTATACATTTTGGTCCTTACAGCGTCTACACTAGAGAAACAATGTGCTAGTTAAACATGTGTGTCTGACTTACTACACCTAAGAGTATGATCTCAAAGTGCATCCATTTACCTAGAAATGTCTCAAGCTTATCTTCTTTATGGCACAGTGGTACTCCATTGTATAAAAAAACACATCTTCTTTATTCATTCTTCGGTTGATGAGCTATTTTCAAGATTGAGCTGTACAGACTGTGCTGCTTTGAACATGGGTGTGCATGTATCACTGTGGCATGATGCTTTTAATTCTTAGGCCACACTTCTAAATCATAATGTATCCCCATTTTTAGTTTAAGAGGGTAAGCTCAAGGAGAAATTAACCCACTAAAATGCACACACTTTGTGAGTGGGTGGCAGATTGGGATGTTAACTATTGAATAATAAACTCAATAAAACACACAGTATATGTGACAGACATGTAATATATAAATTTATATCTGTCAGATTTCAAAGTTGTGTTTAGTTGTCATATGATACTGTCTCCAGGCTGTTAAAAGCAATAAGTACTTTCAGATGCGATGTTCTAGATCATGTCCTTTGTAATGTACTGTAAACCACACCCTGTGTTGAGCACACCTGAGTGACATTTTGGCCTAATCAGCTGTTAGAGCAGGTCGGGGGGACCAGGCTCTTGACCACTGCTTGACACGTAAACTGCCTGCGGAGTTGACCGAGAAGGTGAACACATTGGAAGTCCTGTGTGCTCAGGGGATTCTTGACCCCTGCTGTGTTGGGAGCATAGCCAAATTTGTTTGTGCTGACTTGGCCAGGGAACTGGCGGGAGGTGGGTGGTACTGGGGGAGGAGCAGGGTTAGAAGGGAGCAGCACTGTTTCTCCGCTTCTTTCTGGCGCCTGCACTGTATATCAGACCCCTCTCCTTTTCAGCTTTGCACCCACGTTCCTCCTGTAACTGACTTCTCAGATGTCTCACTTCCCTTACCTTCTGCCTGTGGAGATTTGGGATCCATACAGTATTTTAGTCACTTGTCTTGCGACGGGTGTGTGATATGCTGTGGCCATAAAAAGGAAAGACGGTGTGGAAATTGTCCATGGCCTGCTAAACCGTGCGGGACTTCCGACATTTCTCAGCTTTACGTTGTAGTGCCGGTTCCTGAACCACGCTGCTGGGACTTGACAGGAAGATTTTACAGACATTTAATGTGCAGAGCTCAGGCTGATGAGAGCTTGCTTTTCTTTTGCAGGAAGGATGCAAATTCTGCGCTGCTCAGTAATTACGAGGTAAATAGCTTGACCGGACTGCTTTTCCTCTCTGGTGGTTTGCCCTTTGTGAAGATCATTAAAGCAGAACAGAGAGCACCATTTGCTGGACCTGTGAATATTATAAGTGTGATGAATTATACGCAGGGAAACTCGGTAGACTTTTTAGTGAGCACTCTTCCCTTCTACCCAGCCTGGATCATCACTTGGGATCCCTTTATGGAATAGAAGCATCTATTTTAGAACCATTTCTGTCTGTAAATATAATATATGTAATTTCCTAATATAATATTCATCCCTTTTCCTAATTGCCATCTTTTTCCTATCAGATGTTTTGAATATATCATCACTTTGATCCTCATGTAGCCCCAAAGATATTAACACCCTTATTTTGAAAGTGAGAGTTTAGTTTACCATTATAAATAATCAGAATAAGCAGATTTATTTGAGGAACTTTGAGGGCTTGAGGACAGGGCTTCTGGGGAAAAGCAGGAAAGAGAAAGAGATTGGTGAGAGAGGAAATGTCACAGTGTTCTGACCTATCTCCTGCTTGTGTGGCTTCACTGTGGCACTGGCAGAACCCTCTGCTGATGTAGAAAGAGCCATTCAGGGCCAGGGATTTAGCTCAGTGATTCCACCACCTGCCTTGAAAGCGCAAGGTACTGAGTTCGATCCCTGGTACCAAAAAAAAAAAAGCTTAATTGAATACCTGTGTTTGAATAATACATTAAATTAATTATGGCACCTGTGTACCATCATTCAGCTTTTTAAAACTTTTTAATAGTTGTATATAATTGTCATTTTATTATTTCATTTCTTTTTTTTTTGGTACCTGGGATCAAACTTGGGACTGTGTGCTTGTGAAGCAGGCAGCAGAACCACTGAACTAAATCCCCGGCCCTGTTTCATTTCTTATGATAATTTACTGTAATTTAAAAAATATTTTTAAGTGATTTGGATCCTGCATTTGTCTATGTATGTATTTCATTTGTATAGAAAGATTCATTTGCGTTTAGGAATAAGATTTGTATATTTAAATTTTTTATGGTTATAATACAAAGGAATGTATTTTTTAAAAAAAGAAAGAAAGCGCCATTCATACACACACTGTCAGTTTCCCAGATGTCACGGTCTAAACTCATGACGACTTAGGGGAGTCTGGGCCTCCCTTGTGTGACACATGCAAAATGAGTTAGGGTGGTCGTCTTCCTTCCTAAGGGTTTGGCCTATGTGGTTGCTGAAGGCCTTGGGTTCAGCACCCACTCATCCCTATCACCTGCTTCCTGGACTCATATTTGCTCTAAAGCGAGACTGGAAGGCAAGTTTCTGGGAAGAAAGGAGGTGTTGTGCTTTCCTCATTATCCTTCAAATCCATTGGCCTTGAAATAAGTATATTTCTTAGATTTGCTCATAAAAGCCAGGTGTGCTTATGCTGCACCCTGTAATCCCAGCACTCAGGAGGCTGAGACAGGAGGATCACTGTGAGTTCCAGGCCATCCTGGGCAACATATTGTAGTGAGTTTAAGGCCAACTTGGACTACATAGCGAGACCCTGTCTCAAAAAAAATTTATTTTCACTCACAAAAATCTTTTGTGTCTTTGTTTCTAGGTGTTCCAGTTACTAACTGATCTGAAAGAGCAGCGTAAAGAAAGTGGGAAGAACAAACACAGTGCCGGGCAGCAGAACTTGAGCACCATCACCTATGAAGTGAGTCTGGGCTCCTGCAGGCCCTGCTGACCTTGCCCTCGGGGAGGGGCTCGTTCTGTTGGTGACCACCCACCAAGTCAGATCTCCTGGCCCCCCTTCAGTAGTTTGGCTGTAACCCAGTCTCTGTTGTGCTTACACAAGCGGGAGGAATGCAGACACTTAGGTACGGCTTCCCTCACTTCTAAACAATGTTTGCAAGTTTGGGGACAGCCTCCGCACCTGAGTCCCGCTGTGGTGTAGTAATCCCTGGAAGGACTCATAGGAGTTGCTGAAAGCTGTTCCATTCACAATGTATTCATCATATGGGAAGGACATGGATTAAAATTGGCCAAGAGAAGAAGAGAGTAGGGGCAGAGTCCAGGAGAAACGCCAGGTGCAGAAATCCTATCGTCCTCTCCCGTGAGGTCAGGAGGTGGCCCTGTCCTGCAGTCTCAGTAGGCACTGAGTGTTCCCAGCCAGGGGAACCAGCCAAGCCTTTGGGTCCAGGATTCTTATACGCAGCCAGCACCACCTGAAACATACGCAGATGACCACGCTCTCCCCTAGGTCACTGTCAAGCTATCCAGTGTGACCAAAGGGCCCAGAGACTGACAGGCACACATTCTAAAAGCTCCCAGAACCCTTAAGACAAAGACTAGACCTTCTCTTCAGGTAGGGCCAGATTCTTTATTTCACAGAAAGCAGTACTTATTTTAAATTAGGCCAAGTGTGGTGGCACATGCCTATGATCCAGTACTCAGGCAGCCAAGACAGGAGGATTGCTTCAAGTTCAAGGCCAGCCTGAGCTACCTAGACCCGGTCTCAAAATAAAAACCCAAAAAATTTAGTGCCAATTGGCATAAAAAAGAACTCAGAAGTCATTTATGCTTTTAATATGTATTGACATTTTGCTGTGTTCTGTTCTGATTTTATACTTTGTCCTTAAAATTTATGTTATGTTTGTTATGTGGTGTTTGATTTTTATATATGTTATTTTAATTTAATGCTTTCTTACTATTTCCTTTGAATTCTGGGGTTTGTTTGTTCGTTTGTTTTTTCGTCTCTGTACACGATTTGGTTTTAGTTATTTTTAATTTGTCTTTCCAAAGATTTTATTGAACTTCAGTCAAGGAAATAAAGGGTTTAGCACTTTCATTGCAATTCCTCCTCTTCCAGTTTTGCTCATTTAATTGTGCATTTAAAACTTTTCATTCTTTTATTCATATTCTCTTTCATTATTTAGTTCATGTCTGGAAGAAGAAACTATTTGTTGGCATTACTTTTGTAACCAAGTTTCAAACTGGGGAGTGTTCTTCCTCTTTGTGCTAAATCACACAGTTTAAGCTCACTGCAACTGTATTGTTAAGTCCTTCCTTTGATACTGTGCCATGAGGAAAGAGATGCTATCAAGTGTTTCAGGATAATCTGTTTCTCATGTTCTTAATGGGAATGGACAATTTCTTCTGAATATGATGGTCTTGGGTTCAGCTTTTGTTCTTCAGAGAGTTCTAGGTGGTGAGAAAAATTTTGGTGTCCTAAATTTAATTACAAGGTTTGGAGGATGGGAAAGGAGAGATGAGTGAGTTACTCAGAGATCTACAGGCCAAGCACATTCTTGAATGCAAGTTAAAACCTTTAACTCAGTGGGGCATGGTGGTGCACCCTTGTAATTCAGCACTCCCGAGGCTGAGGCAGGAGGATCACTGTAAGTTCACGTTCAGCCTGCACTATATAGTAAGATCCTCAAGTCCCCCTCCAAAAAACCAAAATAAAACAAAACCCTTTAACTCAAATCTAGTCCAGACCCCTAGGCACCTGCACATCCTGTTTACACTCCTAGGAATCCAGAAGCAATAGTCACTTCTCCTTGCTGACCGCCCTTTATCCCAAAATGTCCCCTGCTTTCTGTAGTCCCACCCTGCTTACCTGTAACCAACATTGGTACCTTGTAAACAACATCTACCTTTTTCCCCAAAGTTTTGTTGCTGAAACATTCTTAAAAAGCTCTTGGAGGGTGGGGGATTTAGCTTGGTTGTATTGCCACCTGCCTTACAAGCTCAAAGTCCCAAATTTGATCCCCGGTACCAAAAATAAAAAGCCCTTGGAGAGCTGGTGGTACGGTTGACTGTAGAGTGAGCACATACTTAGCATGCTTGAAGCCCAGGGTTGAACCCCCAGTACCATCCGTCAGTCTGTCCATCCTCTTGGCTCTAGCTGTGGACAGATTGCAGCCATCTTCAGCCCTGTGGCTGTAGTCCCAGGAACTTGTCCAAGGACCAGGTCCTTTATTCAGCTAGCATCTGAAACCGCTCAGTAAACCCTTTTATTCAGAGATCCCTGAGTCTGCAGAGTTTTGGTGTAACATGGGTATTATGTTGTCTATATCTGTTTGGAGGAGTCTGAGACCAATGTGGGCTTTGGTGCTGTGGATTGAACTCCAGGTCTCAGGCATGTAGGGTAGGCACTCTGCTCTTAAGCTACATCCGTAGTCTTTTTAATTTTTATTTTGAGACAGAAGTCTCACTAAGTTGCCCAGGCTGACCTCACTTTTGAGATCTTCCTGCCTCAGCCTCCCATGTAACAGAGATTACAGACATTTGCCAACAGGCCGACTGATATTTTGTTTACATTTCTGTTTTTTTTTTGTTTTTTTTGTTTTTTTGTTTTTTTGGTACCGGGGATCAAACGGACCAATATTTTGTATTTCTGAGAGACTGGGATGATTAAGGTTACTGTTTTTCAGGTTTGAACTTCATTTTATTTTATTTTATTATGTTTATTTTTTGGTACCGGTGATCGAATTTGGGCCCTTATGCTTGCAAGGCAGGCAGCGGAACCACTGAGCCAAACCCCCAGCACTTTCTCCATTTTATTTTATATTGTTTTATCTTATTTATTTTTTGATTTTTGAGACAGGGTCTTGCTATCTAGTTGGACTTACTGTATAGCCCAGGCTGGCTTCAAACTTGCAGGTATCCATGTGCACTAACATCGATGGCTCTGGGATCCCCTCTAAACAAAAATTTTTTAAAAAATTTTGAAATAATTTTACAGGAGAGTTGCAGAGACAGTGCTTGAGAGTTGCCATGGACTGTTTTTCCTAGTTTTTTAATGTAAATATCTTGTATAATACTAATACGATTATCAAAGCCAGGAAAAAAAAATTTTTTTTTTTTTTTTTTTTTTTTTTTGAGACAGGGTCTCACTATGTAGTTGAGAGCGGAACTGGAGCTCACTATGTAGCCCAGGTTGATCTCGAACTCACAGTGATCCTCCTGCCTCAGCCTCCCGAGTGCTGGGATTACAGGCATGCACCACCACGCCTGGCTAAGCCAGGAAATTAATATTGAGACATACTGTTAAACTATAGATTTTATTTGAATTTCCCCCATTTTTGTTTGTTTGTTTTTTTCACTGTGGCATCCAGTTTCTATTCACAAAGAAAAAGCTCCAGTCCACCTTTTAATTTTTTTGCAAAATTCCTGACATTACAGAACTAAACTGAAATGTATTAATATTCCACTCATTACATTTTCATGACAAACAGAAAAATTCATGAGCCAAAAAAAAAAAACCACAAACAAAAACAGGGGGAAGCTTATAAAACTAAATATGGATCTCAGCATTAACAGCTGAACAGAGAAAGGAATTAAAACGCTTTAATTAAAAAATCACGAGTGGATAATAAAGTGTGTAGAAACTGAAAATTTACAAACTATTTAAAACCTGGAATCACTGACTGTTCAGTAGCTACACAGATGGATCATGGGTGGTGGTGAACAGCAGAAAGGGTTATGGATGAATCTGCATTGTTCTAGCTGCTCCCCATGCCACCCGTCTCCGAGGAAAGCCTGACATTGATTAGATACTGAGCCAGGCTAATGCTGGCAGCAGATCCAGTGATGGTAACCTACCTATCAGTAGATCCTTCCACTGGGTTCGCAATTTTGATCTGCGCCCCAGACATCTGACAGATCTCATTGATTTTGGCGCCTTGATGGCCAGTTATGCAGCCAATCAAATCATTTGGAATGGTGAGTTCATGAGAAGTAGTCTTGAGCAGATGCATCCAAACCTGCACTGAATCTGGTGTTGCCATGCGTCATGGGAAAGTGAGACTGTTGCATTGCCAATTGGTGCAGCTTGGTCAAAGCTGGCTGTGGAATGGCATACTGTCCTTGAATGGTATAGGCCTCTAGAGGTGGTCCCTCCAGGTCAGGGTTGAGGCACATGGACGGGGTGGTGTGGGGAAAGCTCGCACTGTCGCTGCCTGTCCTGACCACCTGCAAAGATGGCTGGAGAATTTGATGGCTTGGGCCGGTTTGGGATGGTCATGCCCTTCGGGGGGGACTGGGAGAGAGTCTCTAACATGACCACGCAGATCTGTTTGACACACTCGATGGATTGCGGAATGCCAGCAATAGTGATAGCCCGCTCAGTAAGTTGGGGAGCATATCCCCCACCACTTGAACCTGAGCCCCTGTAGTATTTCCTTGATTTTACAACCGCCTTTTCCAATGAGAGAGTCACACTGACTAGCAGGAACCACCAGCCTCAGAGTGACAGGGGATCTACTGGCAGCTGTGCTATTGGTCATTGAGCTGCTGATGTCCTCTTCCAGTTTGTCAGTGATCATAGCAAAGGCTTTGAAGATGGCATTAGTGGGTCCAGCCAAAGTGATAATTCGTTCAGGACAATTTCCTTCTGAGATGTTGATACGTACACCACTGTCCTCGCGCATCTTCTTAACTGATTCTCCTTTTTTTCCGATGATACTGCCAACTTCCTTTCCATGCATAAGTAGCCGGATGGTGAGAGTGACGTTTAATCCACCTTCAATCACACCGGTGTCCATGTCGAGTATTATGGGGAGCTGGACTTTGAGTGGTCAAGTCTTTGGTCACTGGCAGGGGTCAAAGCCAAAAACTGCAGGCGCGAGACGACTGAGGGGCAAAGGGGAGCGGGTGGGAAGGGGAAGGGCGGGAGGTGGGGGGGTAACAATAAGGGCGGACAGGAAGGCAAGCACCCCACCCCCACCCCCACCCCCCTTGGGCGGGCAGAGGAGGAGGAAGGGGGAAAGAGACCCTGGGGCGGGTGGAGGGCGCAGGCTGCGGCTGCTCCCTGCTCCGGCTGCTTCCTCTGCTGGTCTCTTCCCCCATTTTTTTTAAGAGTAGGAAAAATTTATTGAAAGATAGCTTCTGTCTAAGAAAGACAGAAAAGGGACCGTAAGTGGGTTGCCCACTGACCCTGATTCTCAAAGGTGTTTTATGGGGCGGGTTCAAGGTGGAACAAAATTATGATTAGCCAGTAGGATTATGACAAACATAGTTGCTTAGGTTGTATTGATTAAATGGGAGCCAAATGCAGCAGGTGTACAAGGAGTGAGCAAGGATTTTCCGAGGTAAGGGGTGGGTCAGGGGTCTTTCTTGGAAGATCTTGGTCCCCACCCAGGGGATACCTGTTTAGAATATCAGTCACTGCTATGCTGTGAGGGTGTGGTGGTTTCTCCTCTTTTATAATCCTGGCCTTCAGGTCAGTGAATGTGTCTTGATCTCCTTCTCCTGGCACAGCTCCTCTCCTGGAGGGTCTTGAGGGCTGCCCCTAACTGCCTCCATCCAGTGACCTTGGTGGGAAGGCTTCCAAAATGGTATAGGGCAGCAAGTAATCCAAATAAGCAAAAATAGTCCAAACAAGGGAAATATAACTCCCAACCTGCTAGATACCTGAAATTTGAGTTCGTGTTCTCTAGAATTGAAGAATGAATTCTAGGAACAACAAAGGTTAAGAGTAAGAAAAATTTATTGAGAAAAAGACAGCTTTTAAGAGAGACAAGGGTTGGGGGCAGGGGTTTAGCTCAGTGGTTCTGCTGCCTGCCTCACAAACTCAAGGTCCTGAGTTCGATTCCTGGTACCAAAAAAAAAGAGACAAGGGGGACCCAACAGCGGGTTGTCTCTGAATTTCCCCCATTTTCCCACTGCTATCCTTTTTCTGTTCCAGGATCTAAACTTAGATACCATTTTGTATTGATAAAAGAAAAAATCTGAGTTGACCTAAATTTAATTAGGAGGGCTGAAAGATGGAGGGGAAAGAAACAGAGCTTTGGAGGAGTCAAGCCCCCACCGGACCTTCTGAGACCGGGAGGAGACCTGTGCGCGGCTCCGCCCCCGCCAGCCGGCCTGTGGCTTCCCTTAGCCCTGTTAGCCCTGTTAGGCGGGCGCCTGCTGGATTTTAGCCTCCTCCCCAGCGACACTTGCTTCTGCATGCTGTGTCCTTCCCTCCCACAGCCTCCCTCCGTCCCTCTTTGTCGCGAGCAGGGAGCAAGTATAGTAATAATAGGCAGGCGCCGGTAGCCTTTTTAGATGCTTTAATCACACAGTAACTACCGCCCGTCAGTTGCCACTCCCTGTACATGCACAGATCCGAGGAGCGCGACTTTCTTCTGTAAGGTGATTCGCGGTCAGCGTCGGCTGCGGCCACGGTCCACGTCTCCAGGGTGCACTCCGGGCTGGTGCCCTCCTGTGTTCTGGAGCAGAATCTTGGCTGTGACCTAGTGCAAGATCACATATGTGGCCAGTGGCCAACAAGTCTCTGGGTCACCGAGTGCGACGAGCTGGTCTTCTGCGCTCTCTCCTTTATACTAAATTCTATGGCTGTGTGGCACTGATTCGGGCTTATCTATCTATTACACATCAGGCAGGGTTACAGGTGGTGAGGATATCAAAGTCACACATCAGGCAGGGTTTACAGGTGGTCAAGGGTGTTACAGTCACTGCACCCAGGAGGGTCTTACAAGTGCTTATCATATCAGGGAGCAACTCCTACACACACACACACACACACACACACACACACACACGCCCACTCTGCACATGGGCTCTCCCCACTTAATGAGCCTTGTTCAGTCATGGCCTCTGTCACGGCCTCAGGCTCAGTGACAGCTTTAGTGACAGCCTCAGTGCTTGTTGTCATTGGAAAAGGATGTAAATAATATAATGAATTCTGCAATAACTATTTGCTCTCCACACTCTTCTCTGTAGCCAGTGTAGTTTTTGGGTCAACAGTTGATGCTGTCCTTCCCTAAATTTTCAGTATTTTAAATTTTCTATTTTGTGTGTAAGGAAGCCTCCATAGCAACCCAAAACCTGGGTTTTGGTTAGCAACCAGCAACCTAGAGGGGGTTCCTGGAGGCTCTGCTCCCATCCCGTACTTAGTCCAGGAGGTTTGTGGCCTGTATCCTTTATATTAAACCAGTAAGCGAAAGCTCCTCTGGGTTGTGAGTTCTCGGGAGCCAAGGAGGGGCTGTGGGGCACAGGGAGCGGCAGCTGGGAGAGCAGGATGGCCCTGAGCACCTAGCCCTCCGCCAGCCTCCGACGTGGACCCTGCAGAGGCAGTGTCAGAACAGGATCCAGTCAACTTTGGTTTTCTTATTCAATCCAGTGGGCTCGTGGCTGTTTATTCATTGGATTTTTTTTTTTGTCTTTAAAAAAATTGTGATGACTTCATATTGATTTTTTTTTTGGTACTGGGAGTCAAACTTGGGTCCTTGAGCTTGCGAGGCAGGCAGCAGAACCACTGAGCTAAATTTTTAAGATCAGAAGTTTTTTTTTTTTTTCCTCCCTAAAATACCATTAATTATTCTTCGGTTATAGCAGCCGGTTTTCTGTCAGAATTCTTTTGCTGTGTGAAGATTGGCTCCTGAAGGCATTTGTTTTGTAGAGACTGTCTAAAAGAAAATGTAGACTACTAAGTTGGAGCCATTGTCCTCCCTTTTTCTTATGGAAGTTGGTCTAATGCTTGCCTTTTCCTTTTCCTTTCTTTTTTAGACATTAAAATACTTATCCAAAACTCCATGCAGACATCAGAGTCCTGAGATTGTCAGAGAATTTCTCACAGCAATGAAAAGCCACAAACTGACCAAGTAAGTGAATATTATCTTAAGCAGGAGGAGCGGTGCATAGTGGAAAAGCCGTTCTCAGCAGCTGTGCATTTCCGTTTTGCCGGGTTTTGGGATTGTAATGAACACTGGGCACTTTTGAGGTAGGGCTGTGATGTGTTAGACAAGACAGCTGAGAGGTAGACAGTCAGACCTCCTAAAGCCAGGAGCAGAACCCGGTGGGTTGCTTTTTTTGTTTGTTTTGGTTTTGTTTGCAGTACTGGGGATTGAACGTCTCACTGAGCTGTATTCCCGACCCCTTTTTAAATTTTTAAAAATTTTGAGAGAGTTTCACGAAGTTGCCCAGGCTGGATTCAAACTTGTGACCCTCCTGCCTCAGCCTCCCGGAGTGCTGGGTCTGCAGATGAGTGACAAAATGCTGATCTGCATTTTTTTGGTTTGTTTTAAAGGCTGAATATACCACATTTGTGTATGTATGTATTTTTAATTTTAATTTTTTTTTTTTAAAGAGGATCTTGCTTGTAAGTGAGGCTGGCCTGAAACTCGCTATGTAGCCCAGGCTCCAGTTGGCAGCGATCCTCCTGCCTCAGCCACCTGAGTACTGGCATTACAGGTGTGTGCCACCACACCTGCGCTGGAATTGCAGATTTCTTTGAGGAACCGCCATCCTCTTTCTCCTAGCACCTGCACCAATTGACTTGCCCCAGCAGTGCACACTTCAGGGTTCTGCAGCCCTGCCTGTGTGTGTGGCCTTATTTTGAATATTCAAAATGATGTAATGATGAACATCACTGCATGTGCTCATTGACCATCTCTGTATCTTTTTTGGAAAATGCCTAAGTTACCCTTTGCCCATTTTTGCATGAGGCTTTTGTTGTTGAATTTGAGGAGTTTTTTTTATATATTCTGGATATGAATCCCTTATCAGATAAAAGATTTGCAAATGTTTTCTCCTATTCTGTGGATTGCCTTTTTGCTTTGTTGGTAGTATCCTTTTCATGTCCAAGGTTTTATCTGTTTCCTTTTGTTTTTTGCTTTTTTTGGTACCTGGGATCGAACTCTGGTCCTTGCACTTGTGAGGCAGGTGGTAGAACCACTGAACTAAATCCCCAGCCCAAAAGTTTTTTGTTTTAATGAAGTCCAATTTGTTTATTGAGACAGGGTCTGGCTGTGTAGTTCAGGCAGGCCTTGAACTCACGGCAGTCCTTGACTCTGTTTTTTTCTTTTTTTTTTAATGCCTCCTGTTCCCAGAAGTCATTGTCACATCCAATGTCATGAAGTTTTCCTCTAAGAATTTTATAGTTTAGCTCTTATGTTGATGTCTGATTCACTTTGAGTTCATACTTGTTAGGTGTAAAGGTCCAAGCTCACTGTTTTGCATGTGGCTTTCTATAGCTTTTCAGCATTATTTGTTGAAGTTTGCCTTTTCTCCCTGAATGCTCACAGTATCCATGTCACAAGTCATCTGCCACATATTGAAACTTTTCTCTCCCGACCGTCCCATGGCTGTGTGTCTGACTTTATGACACTGAGTACCATGCTGTCATTCTTTGAGTGCTGTCACTTTATAGTAAGCAAATATGATCCTCCCACTTTGTTCCTTTTCCAGATTAGTTAGCTATTCGGGGCCGCTTCAAAGTCCATATGAATTTCAGGATAGATTTCTCTATTTCTGACAAAACATCATTGGGATTGTATTGAGTGCATCTGTCTCTTTGGGTGGCAGTGATATCTTGGCATCGTTAAGTTTCCTAATCTGTGAACACTATTTGTGTCATCTTTAATTTCTTTGAACAGGGTTTTTTTGTAGTTTTTAATGCACATGTCTTTTATTTCTTTGGTTAAGTTTATTTGTGTTTTCTTTTTGGTGCAATTGTGAATGCAATTGAAGTAGCTCCTAGAGTCACCCCAGGAACACGAGCCGGGTGTGGTGGCGCATGCCTATAGTCCTAGCACTGAGAGGCTAAGGCAGGAGGATTTTTGCAAGTTTGACGCCAGCTTGGGCTACAGAGTGAGTTCATGGTCACCTTTATATAGTGAGGTTGTCTTAAACCCCACCCCACCCCCCCAAAAAAGAAGAAAGAAAAGAAAGAAGCACTACCGTCAGGGTGATCAGACTGAGGTGTTTACTAGGTGAACTGACTCCCAGCGTGCTGCTGCTCATGCTCAGAACGGACGGCAGGGAAGGAGATGCTCTCCATAGGCCTGAGATCCTGAGGTCCTCAGCCAGGGGTCAATGTGTGCAGTTCATATAGGAATTTGAGGAATTTTGGCTCTGGGCTAGGGCCATTTTCTTTAAGTAGTTTTGGCAATATTGTACAGCTTATCATTGTCTGGGAATGTTTAAGCCTCTAGCCTAGGGTTTTTTTGAGGCAGGAAGTGGCACCACTGAGCTAAATTCCCAGCCCTAGCTTGGGTTAAGTCTACTGAGCAAAACCTGAAGTTGGATGCTCATGGAATGGTCAAGGCTATGATTTTTTTTTTTTTTTTTTTTTTTTTTTTGGTGTGGTACTGGGGCTCGAACTCAGGACCTTGTGCTTACACGGCAGGCACAGTGCCACTGAGCTAAATCACTAACTCCAAGGCTATGATTTTTAATTAGGTATAGAAAATACAGGTTGACATGGCAAACACGTATAATCCCAGAACTCAGGAGGCTGAGACAGGAGGATTGTTTTGAGTTTAAGGCCGAACTGGGCTATCCTGAACTACAAAGCGAGACCCTGTCTCAATACATACATACATACATGCATACATACATACATGCAAACAAAGTACAGGGCCAGGGATTTAGCTCAGTGGTTCTGCCACCTGCCTTGCAAGCGCAAGGACCTGAGTTCAATTCCCAGTACCAAAAAGAAAGAAGCTAAAGTATAGGTCAGAGCTGGAGTGGGAGGCATCCTACAAACTTAGAGTTTACAAACACAACTGATATTTGTATGTTGATTGTGTCTCCTGTCACCTTCTTCTTTAGCCACGTTTGTTTATTATGGTAACAGGTTTTTGCTTTTTTTTTAAACTGGGGATTGAACTCTTGCCCTTGCGGCTTGGGAGGCAAGTGGCAGAACCACTGAGTCATATTCTCTGTCTGGTAACAAACAGGTTTTATATGGAGTCTCTAGGCTTTTCTAAATATAAGATCCTAGTCCCTGAGAACTGAGGTAATTTTATCCCTTCCCTTCCAATCTGTGTGCCTTTTTCTTTGTTTTTCCTGATTGCTCTGACTAGAACTTGCTAGACTGTTGAGTAGAAGTGACAAAAACAGGTGTTGAAATAGACATTGAATGGCTCTGCAGTTGAAAGTCTGTAAGAATAGGCCAAAGTCCAGTGGAAATGTCCTGTCAGCTGGGAACCCAGAGTGTGTGTGTGTAAGAGTGCTTAGGTTGGCCTGTTCTGTAGATTCTGTTGCATATAATCCTGATATCCAACTCCATTTTACAGGTAAATGAATGGAGACTCAGGCAGTTAAATACCTGCCCCAAATCCGGTGACTAGAATCTGTAAACCCAGTAGTGAAGTCTTTCAGTTTAACTGCAGCTTGATGTGGTTTTCTGAAAAAACTAGGAAGTGCTCATATGAAGACAGAGAGTGAGCGGACCCCTGGTTCTCCCTGCTGGACCCTGTGAACACGCTTGTTTGGCCATTGAGAAGAGGTTGCTTTCAGAGAAGAGTAGGACCCTTCCCTTCCAGACACCAGGCACAGGAACACCCACAAATATCTTAGGGTCAATGATGGATTTGTAGAAATACTTCTTTCATGTGATTTATTGTCTTTACATATAAATATCCATTTGTATTGCAGAACAGTTTCATTGTTCCTACAAATTCCCTGTTCTGGCCTTTTGTAATTAGTCATTTCCCTTTACCCATTGCCTGACAGATGATCTTTTTTCCTACAGTTTTCCCTTTGCAGAAAGGCAGAGAAATTGGATTCCCTAGTGGAGTCTCTTGGGGCTGGCTTCTTTCACTTAGTGTGATGTATTTGTGATTTACCAATGCTGCTTCATGTGTGGCAGTGATTTGTTTTATTATTGAGTGACAGCCATTGTAGAGACTGCAGTTGTTTTTTTGTTTTTTTTCATATCCCAGTTGAAATACATTGGAAAATTTTCTAGTTTTTGACAATTCTGAGTAAAGCAGCTACAGATACCTCATACAGGTGGTTCTCCCTTGGATATTAATGTTCTCCAAAGGCTCATGTGCTGAAGGCTTGGTCTCTGGCCTGTGGCCCTATGGGGAGGTGGGATTCAGGTCACAGGTGAGTCCCTGAAGGGGACATGGGGACCTGGGCCCCTCCCCTTTGCCTTTGTTTCTCACTGCCATGAGGTGAGCAGCTCAGCTGCACCATGAGCTCCCACCCGGATAATTCTGCCCACCTGTAGGCCCAGAGTGACCCAGCCAAGTGACCATGGACTGAAGCCTCTGAAGCTGTGAGCCAAAGAAGTTTTTCCTCTCAGGTATTGTAGAGGCACAGCGAAGCTCAACAACTAGGCCACACACCGAGAGGTCTGACAGGAGATTTTATTAGGGAAGGCAGGTTACGGAGAGAGAAGAGAGGGAAGAAGAGAGGAACAAAAAAAGGAAGGTCCTTTTATCATTTTGGGGTGGGCTATTGCTTATTTATGAGGAGTGGGCTACCTTTAACCTATCACAGGCCAGGTTGCCCTTTATGGGTTTGGTCCTGGAGAAACAGGTTTAACCTCTCCCAATTGCTGTGGCCTTGGGGGGAAGGGAAACTAAAGATAAGAGCTTGGGGTCTTTAAGAGCCAAGAAGCACCAGGAAAATGCAGCCTGTGATAGCAGTGTCAGGTCCCTCACAGGTATTTTGTCACAGCAACACAGGTTTTTGTGTAAATTGAGTTTTCATTTCTTCTGGACACTTACTTAGGAGGGGAATCACTGGGTCATAGAGTAAGTTTAACGCTTAAGAAAACACCAGATTTTCCCAAAGTAACTACTTATTTTACATTTGCCTCAACATTGTTAGAGTTTCACTTACTCTGTATCCTTGATACTTTTAGTAC